GCTCAAGATGTTGACAGCCTCAAGCTGGATCACTTGGTTGGAAATCTCCAAACTTATGAGGCACATAGAAATTTCAAAAAGAAACAAAAAGATACTATTGCTTATAGTAGTGCTCATAAAGTTGAAGAGGATTCTGATGAGGATTGTGAGATAGATTCCAAGATTACGGCTGCTTTTGTTAAACAATTTAAAAAATCTTTTCTGAAAAAGAATCCTAAACTTTTGGAATCTACTCATACTCATAAATCTAAAGGCAAAGATAAACTCAAAATTAATTCTATAGCCAAGAAGGAGAAAGGAAAGATATAAGGGAACTCTGAAAGAGTCCTATGCTATGAATGCCAAGGATTTTGACACTTTGCTTCAGAATGCCCCACTCATTTGAAGAAAAAAAAATCCCTCGCCATCAATTGGGATGATGAATCAGAATCTGATAAAGATGAAAGTGATAACGAAGATCAAGGCAAAGAGGGATATAAACAATTCATTGCTTTTATGGCGGCTTCCGAAACTGAAGAACGAACAGAGTATCCGAAAAGCCCAGTTGAGAATGCCACTGATGATGAATCCTCGGGAAGTGATAATGAAGAACTGGAGCAAGCTTATGAAAAGTTGTATAAGGAATCTCTTTAGTTATCCAAATTGAATGACAAACTCACTATGAAACTTAAAGCTTGTGAAAGTGGGAATGTCAAACTAAAGGAGGAGATTTCCGAGGCTAGGATTGATGCCATCAAGATAGCTAATGATCGACAAGCTCTTTGTGCAAAACTCTTGACTTGTGAGACAGAGATGAATGAGCTACAACAAATCTACGCAACATATGAAGAAAAAATTAAAACTCTTGAGATGTTTCAAGTTGCTTTGGAAGAACTAATGATCAAGAAAGAGGAAGAACTCAAGTGTACGATGGCTACCATTGGTCTTTGGAACAGAGGATCAAAGACTTTGGACAATATCATTGGGTCTCAACAAATTTGTTCTGACAAGAGTGGCATTGGCTTTGGTGATAACAAAGATCAAAAACAGAGTGCATCTACATCTCATGATACAAGAACTCGAGGAAAAAGAGAATAGAAAATTCAACATAAGGATGGACTTCTCAAACCTCCTAGAGTTGGTAAGGTCAAACAAAAGAAGGTACACCCTGTGTTTATTTGTCATCATTGTGGTATGCATGGTCATATTCGCCCTTATTGTTATGAGTTGCATGGCAAAGTGTCTCGTAGAGATGGAAGAAATTCCAACATCTCATGGGGTATGAGACACTTCATTGGTCGTAAGGAGGTTAAGGGTCATAATAAACCTTGCTATTTTGATTTGCTTGAGACCAAACATGAAAAGAGGTTGTGTTTACCTAGACCTAGAAATAAGAAGCTGGAAACCATGTCGAGATAGATTCCCATTGAAAGGGAAGGGAACCACAACGCCAAGACATCACCCAAGAACCGCAATTCTCATAACTTTGTTCGTACTAAAACAGTTTGGGTGAGAAAACTTGACTTGTGTTAATTTGTTTTGTCGTTTTAGTTTTTGGGTTTCTGTGTGTTTTTTTTTTGTCATTAAATGTGTGCTTGTTCATTTTTTGTCTTGCTTTATTTTTGAAAAAAAAAAAATCCCAAAAAGATTTTCTTAGTATGGTTTTGCAAGCTTGAAATTTTTGAGTGGTCCTTGGTACATATTGGAGTTGATGAGAATATCCATTACATGTTAATATATATGTACTTTATGTGGTCATTACTCATTTTGGAGTGTGTGTTTTTTGATTAGTATGTCTCATTCTGTACACACTCTTGGATTAGCAAATATCGGAGTCTTCCGCCTTAGTGATTATTTTTTTTCTATGAACTTTTGGCATTGTATCTTTTGCTTTTCTAGAGAAATTGACCTATACTAGCATATCTTGGGTGATGTTAAGTCTCTTAACCACCTTCTATCTTTTTGCATCTCTACAGCTTTCCCCTCTGTTCTTTGTAGTCTAGGCATGAGGAAAAGGCTACCTCAGAGTCACCAATCAGGCTATCCTTATTATATCCATGCGTCTCTGGTTCGGTTTATATATTCTTGAGCGTGTCAGCCGCCAATGAGTGTGCAAAAGAAAAAGAGAAAGAAAAAAAAAAGAAAAAGAAAAAGAAGGAGAAAAAATATGCAAAAGAAAAAAAAAAAAGATTCATTGATTGAGGGGGAGCCTCCGCCTTTACTCACCAAATACCCCTTATTCCCTAGTGGTTTGACTTTCCTTAGTTGTGCTTAGATTCTTTTGTCAGAGGTCCAGCTTTCATATCACTGCTAGGATTTGAATCTAGTGTTTGTCGAACTCCAAGAGTTACACACACACTTTTATCATGGGATCTATGCTTTTCACATAATGCATCACTTTCTTTCATGAGAACTCTTCCATAGACTGTGCACATTGTGCTTTCAAGTAATTGTATTTCTTGGATAATCTTGTGTGTTCTAAGGTACAAATCTGAGATTTCTTGCTTGCTCCACCATATTATTTTTGTTGTTTTTCTTCTTATTCGTTGTTTTTAGTGAAAGGGAGTTTGGTTTATCATTGCAAGAGTTTGTTAGCATGAATACTTTGATTTGTTTGGTAAGGGAGATTGACTATAGTTGTTTTGCATGTTACTATGCACTGTTTGCTAATTATTTCCTTCTTGCATGTTCCTGGTATTTACATCGTCATATCACTGCTTGTGTGGTTTATGATATTGCTTTTGTTGTTTGAGAGTTGTTTTTCATGAGTCTTAGTTTTCATCTATTCATGTTTTCTATCTCATGTTTCAAGATAATCGTGTCATATGTCTATTGCTTTTTCATATACTCTTGTGGGACTAATAGTTGTTTTGGGGATTGTGGCACTAATAGTTGTTTTGCAGATCATGACCTTGAGAAAGAAGTTTGTTTTTATTGGCTGTAAGAGTTGGGGTGTTTAGAATTTTATTTGTTAGGTGTGTTTTGTCACGGCATTGCCAAAGGGGGAGATTGTTAAGTTTTTATTCTTGGCAACCCCGTTTGACAAAACTCCTTTCAATGATATTTGTTTTCGCACTTTTTATTTTAGTAAGGCTATGAGTGTTTAGATGCGAATCCAACTCGAATTGTACCTTGCAGAGAAGTTTTGTGATGTTAATGCTTTCAAGATTGCCACTTCACTGATTATGACGGGGGTCGAGCTGCCCGGTCAGCTCGCGGGGTCGAGGGGCAGCGTCCCCGAAGCAAAATGCAAAAATGCATTCAAAGTTGCCTCCCCGCTTGAGCGTCCATTCCCTCGCTCGAGCGGAGATTAGTAATTTCCAGAAGTATGCGTGACTGCAAAAATACTGGAGTCTATGTTTTCACGCTCGAGCGTCCATTTCCTCGCTTGAGCGTACACCCTAGTGCAAAACACGTCATATAGTGTCCCCGCTCGAGCGTCCATTCCCATGCTCGAGCGGACCTCGCGATTTCAGATTCTATAAATTCGCAAGTTGCTCCAAATCTAGGATTACTTCTCCAGATCTTCTTCTTGGCTTTTAGGGTTTATATCTAGGGATATTTTGCTAGTTTTCTTTGATGTTTTATTGAGTATTCAACTCATGATTTAAGAAGCATACATCAAAGGTTCGTTTGTTCATTCTATACAAAAGAGAGAGTTGTTATTCGGTGGATTTTGAAGAATTTGAGCCTGAAGCTTTGGTGGATTCTGAAGTAGCTCATCGTCAAGACAATTCTGAGGTGAAAACGGGGTTGGAAGAGACACATAGGGGTTGGTTCAATTCGGGCGTGGATTCGCTAGGTAATTGAGAGTATACCTATGTAATTCCTTTATATCTTCTTAGTGGATTGTTTTGTGGCTGTTGCCCGTGATTTTTTTATCACAATTGGAGGTGCTCCAATTGTGGTTTTTCCACGTAAAATCGTTGTGTCGATTTGTTTTGATTGTTTGATTGGAGTTGTTGTTTATTGCTTAAAATTGATACATAATTACAAATCAACATCTAGGGTTTCTAGATTTTTCAAAACACAATAACAGTGGTTTCTCCTTAAATAAACGTTGAATCCATATCTAATATGCACAATTTGATGCTCTATTATGTATTAAACATAAATAAAATAAAACACAATAACATTGGTGGCTTCTCCTTAAATAAACCTTAAATCTATTTCAATTTAATTCTAAAAAATAAAGCAAAAGGGTGGCCCGCTAGATAAATGTTTACATTTCAATTTTGCGAGGGTGGTTCCGAATGACTGAAAAAATCAAACAAACTATCATTACGAAAGACTGACTCAGCCACCATGGGACTGTGTTTTTCTAGATCAAATCCTAATCCCTGCAACCAAAAAAATAAAAAAAAAAAGGATATAAGGAAATGCATTGGAAATAAATACACACATATATGTAAAAACAAAAATCTAGATTGCAAGCAAGTATATTACACACCTGAGAACTTTGTGGATTGTACGATGCTTGGGAAAACAAAGGCGTTGATAGTAGATAAGTTGGCGGGCATGCAAAATTAACATTGTGCATGTGCAGATTATATCTGGAATTCATTAGTTGTGGCTAATAGGGTATCTCAACATCCTAGTCCATAAAATATTGTTAGTAGTTTTATGATCATAATGTACTTAAGTAATATGATTTTAATAAAAATAATAAGATCTCACCGGTGTGTGGTTTGAAAATGAATTCTGAATATTTCTAGTGTTGCTTGACTGTCCAATACTCTAAAGAGATTGTAAAACATTTATTAGTACATTGCAAAATTTAAAAATAAATTTAGCTAATTCGAAATCAAGTACTTCGGTAAATTCAATACCTGAAGTAATATGATTTTAATAAAAATAATAAGATCTCACCGGTGTGTGGTTTGAAAATGAATTCTGAATATTTCTAGTGTTGCTTGACTGTCCAATACTCTAAAGAGATTGTAAAACATTTATTAGTACATTGCAAAATTTAAAAATAAATCTAGCTAATTCGAAATCAAGTACTTCGGTAAATTCAATACCTAAGTAAGGCGGGTAGGTTGCGAAACAACTTTTGTTCTCTTAGTAGTCTTCTCATGCCAAAGTTTTAATCTACTCCCACCCTTGTGTCTGTCCTCTTTCTTTTTTAAGCCCTTAGCTCGTGCAAAGTTTGGATCAACTACAAATTCTTTGGTACCCACTTCAATATTGCCTCCACTACCGAAAGTGACTGAACCGTCTAATGAAGCCATCATATTGTCTACCTTTGCACACAAATCCCTAAGAGTTTCATTAACTAATTGATAGGCAAGTTTGCATTCAGATGATCGAGCTGCTAGTTTTACCATTCTAGGACAAAGATCTCTGTAGCGTGCTGCTATCACCAACTTAGGGTCATTCTTAACCACTGTAATTGTTTCTTCAATTGCACAATCCTTCGCATCTAGTCTCCATTGACCTAATATATACCTTTCAGGAATTTTCATAATATTCATTCTATCAAGCGCCTTAATTGCATGACCCCATAAAATTGCAAAACTCTCAAATTTTTGACAAGTGCAATGAATTTCTTGACAAATATTGTCTCCTCCTGACTCATTAACTTCCACATTACCTTTCACAATATACTTTCTATCCTCTCCATATAAGCCAATCACATACATTACTTCTCTTCCTAACTCATGGTATCGCATCACTTGACAACAAAGGGATGTGTGTAACTCATTATGAATAAGTCAAAGATAAGAGGGGTATACAACTTAGCAACTTGAATTAACATGGAAGAAATTTTCAACTTTATTCTCGGCAATTGTTGTCTTGAATCGTATATGGTTTTTACTTCTTTATACCGCTTATCCATAACAACTCGATTGAAGTGTGTAAAAAATTGAACAATGTTATGGTCAACTTTTAAATGCCTCTTCAATTCTACATTCAAGCTTTCACTAAGTTGAGTGCTTCGTATTCTTGCAGCATATACCAACTTCATATACACATGCGCCCACTTCTCTCTAAGTTCCCAAGTCTTCTTTATCCATAAGTTCTCTTGCAAGTTATATTTATGAATAAAAGAATCCCAAGCTTTAACCAACTCATGCTCATCTTCATACCCAAAAATGTAAGTTTTGAAATTGCAACCAAATTTTAAACCACCCTTGAATAAGTAGCCTAAATGCTTCAAAGCATTTTGCATTAGGTGAAAAGTGCACAATCCATGAAATACCTTGGGCATGATTTTAGAAATTGCCTTAGCCATTTCATGATTTTGATTTGTGAAAAAACTAATAGGCTTTTTTCCTGACATTGCATGCAAGAAAGTTTCAAATAACCACTCAAATGATGCTGTAATTTCATCATATAATAATGCAGCACCAAAAATCACAGTCATTCTGAAGTGGTTAAAGCCAGTAAATAAAGCAAGTAGACAGTACTCTTTGTTTGTTCGGAATGTTGTGTCAAATGACACAGCATCACCGAAAATGCCATAATCTGTAATTATCTGATGATCAGCCCAAAAAATGGTAGTAATCATCTCATCAACATCCAACTGAAATGCAAAGTAAAAATATGGATTTTCAATGGCTTGTTGCTGGAAATGTCTCAACAAACTTCCTGCTTCACTATATTGTAAGTTTCGTTACCTTTTTGCACGTAAGTAGGTTTTTTGATCCTCTCGCGTGAACCCTACAAATTCCTTCCCTTCTGCTAAGGCGCTAATAAGATTATGTGATGCCTTAAGTGATATACCAGTATCATCAGCTACATCGACATTTATACCTTGAGCATTACACAACTTTCTTTGAGATGACATCATATGCGTACATTGAGAAATATACAAAAAGTGGTTGTGATTATCATCGAACTTCATCAGAACCCATTTTGACAAGTCCCGTCTAAAAGATGTACACATGAATGCATTACATTTTGTTCTTGTCTCATGTTGAGGATGTTTTACTATTTTGTACCGTTTATCTTTTTCCTTTTCTCCCTCCTTACAACAAACAAACTTTCTATTAATCACGATACCATCTTTGTTACTTTTTGTATGGTAATCTCTTCTAATACTAAATCCCACAATCCTTCCATATTCATTGTAGAATTCATAAGCAGCTTCTTCCGAATCAAATTCCATTCCAACACATGGCATGGAATTCTTGGCCAACTCCTCAAGTGCACCATCTTCCATTTTTGCACTACTAAATATAAAGTCTAATAACAATAAAAATAGCACAAAAATAACATCAACAATAAGATAAATTACCACAATAAAAGATTGGTCCTTGGAAATCAAATAAAACAATAGACCAATAGTCTATTGTCAAAAAATGTTTTGTATTTAGTGAAAAGTCTCTCAAGATCTATTAATTTTTATATTTTTCTTGTATTTTAATAGTATTTGTTAGCAAAATTTTGAAATAATTGTGACCATATATATTAAATGATGGAACTTGTCATAAAAAACAACAAAAGAACATATGTGAGAACCAAAATGCAACATAACACAGTTAGGATTTGTAGGGGGAAGCCAATTACTATATCAAGAATTCAAAGGGCACTGGAAGCTTATTTAAAATTAAAAATTGATAATTAAAAAATCAAGATCAAAAGTATCTGTTCCTTAAACTATAGGAATTAAATTACTTGTTTAAAAGCTTACAAAAACATTATTATGTTTGTTTGTTTACATTGCTAATGCAAATACATTTGCTGCTAACTGTTAATTTATATTCTTAAAAATTACTAATTGAAGTCTTCATGAAAGGTACTGACATATATCATAACAAATTCTTATACATATCAAATTGTGAAGTTAATTTAACAGAGCATCAATTCCTAATCTAAAACACAATAACACATTCCTATAATAACAGAGCATCAATTTGAATTAAAAAAGATCATAAAATTTTTGAACTTACATTATGTGAAAACATAATGAAAATACCAACATTTAAATCACCATATACAATAACAGATTCTTATACATATCAAATTGTGAAGTTAATTTAACAGAGCATCAATTCCTAATCCAAAACACAATAACACATTCCTACAATAACAGAGCATTCATTTGATACAAATCACTATATACATACACATATCAGAATCCTATAATATTATATTAAAATCCCAATCCAAAACACAATCTCTATTTAATATAAAAATAAATCACCATATATATATACATGACAGATTGTAATAAATACAAAATATATATATATATATATATATATATTTTAAACTTGAGTGAAGATTCTTACAAAGCAAATAAGCAACCTTAATGACAATGGTGATGGTGGAGCTACGGTACAACAATGGCGGAGGATCGTTAGAGCAAACGGTGGAGGCATGGTGGAAGAACGACGGAGTAATGGTGGAGAGACGGCAGACAACCCAAACCCTTCCCGCTCCTAACAGACCCACGTTTTAGCTTGAATTGTTGTTTTGTATTTTACTTATAGCAGATTGTAAATTTTTTTTTATGCTGGAATACAGATTGTAATAAATATAATATATGTCCAAAATATTCAAGCCCTCTTAACAACCAAACCAATTTTTTATTTATTTATATGATGAAACGATGTCGTTTCAACTCACGGTAGTTACTACAGTGAGTTGCTCACAGCAGTACCCTCTCATATTTGATTAAAATACAAATCACCCTCTGTGGTTCTGAAAATTACATTCCACCTCTTGAGATATTTAATTTCATAACAAATCACTCATTTTATAAATAAATCATCGAGTCAATTAATAATTTTTAATGATGTTATAAATATGTTTCAATTAATAATTTAGATAATTTTATTATTATACAAGAGAGCAATTATGAATTTCTTCTTTTTAGTTAATTCTGTTAAATAAATTTTTTTAACAATGGGATATTTATAATTTTTTAAATTATAGAGGTAATTTGTATTTTAAATAAATTTCAGAGATGTATTTATAGGTTATCCTTAAATTTAATATAATTATCTTTATTTTAATAGGAGTAAAGTGATGAAAATTAATATAAATAATGTACAAATATAAGAATAAAAAAAGATAAAATATATATTTTTTCTTTATCAACGTGAGACGCGAAGAGTCTTAAAAATTTATAGTGCACAACTAGTACCTAGCCTAACCTATGAATCAATTATCAAAATCATAGATATACCTTTTTCTAAATTAAAAAAAAAAATCGTAAATATACAAATGATATTCTTAAACATAGTTTTAGTATTGTATCTTAATTTTTATTTTTATAATTTTAAATTCTCACTATTTCATGTGATTGTGACTAAATTAAAAATAAAAATAACAAATAGCAAAGGAAATCAAAATACAATTACCCAGCGACCAAAAAAGTAGAAAAAAAAAGCATATATTGATGTTATGAGCAGTGGCGGATCCAAAAAATTAAATCAGGATGGACACTTATTAATTATAACTTTGTTTAATAATTTTTGAATTAATATTAAGTATAAAAAATTAAATAAATTGTTACAAAAGTATTTCATATAAAATTTTACAATTAATTTCGAGTAAAATGAAAAAGAAAGTATTGCGTGTAACTAGTGTATCTTGAATAATGTAAAAAATTCATATATTTAAACCGTAAAATAAATTATATAGTGGCAAGATAAATCAAATTTTTACAAAATTTGAATAAAAATTTCATATAATAGTGATATCACGTCATTATTAACATATGATATCACAAACCAATAGTAAAGCAACATATGAAGGATGAACTCCACATGCAAATATAATTAACACTCTAGTAATTTTTACATATATATAGTGAGATTAATTATATTTACATATCAATAATGATGAATATTACTTAAGTAAATAAGAAATAAAATGACAAAAAAATTAAAAAATAATATGAAAACAGAACGTCTATTGCCATTTGTCATTTCGAAATTGCACTTGGAGTATTTAGATTGGGCATCATGTTTCTCCGTCTTTGACTCAAAACTAAGCCGGCTTAAGGTCATAAAAATTTAAAACAAGTTTTAACAAAGAAAATAAATAAATAAATAATAACAGTAGTTTGTAAGCTCATTGCTGCTTCATCTTATTTTGATGTTTAGCCTCTTTTTTTTTAATTTTTAAATATGTTATTTTTTAAAACTTTTTAGATCCAACTCAATTAGATAATCTTAATTTTTTAAAAAAATGCAAAAATGACAAATTGCAAGCTGTTTTTTTTTGGGACAAAATTTGACTTACTTCTGCCTTAGTGAATAAAATCGATACTTTTTATTTAATTAATTTTTTAGAATCGTAAATAGTTAAAAAAATTGATTCAAAGTTGAAAAAAAGACAAAATTAAAGTTGAAAAATAAGCTGACTATTAGTTTTAGTCAAATATGCCTTCGTTTAGGATGTGAGTTAGTTTTTTTAGTTTTTTTGTTATTTTAACAGGTTTTTTTAGTAATTTTTTAGTTTTTTAGCTAAAATATGATATAAAAAAAACTAAAATATTTGGGATGACTTTTTGGCTTTTTACGAAAAGATGTACAAAAAGTGGAGAGAAAAGGAAATCTTTGACTTTTTGGTATAGGTTGTTGGCTTTTTGATTTTTTTAGTAACTTTTTGGCTAAAAAAGCCACTTGCCAAACGAGGCCTTAGGCTCTAAAAAGTCTCGTTTGAGATAATTTTTTTGACTTTTTTAACTTTTGTGAGAGAAAAAATAAAATGATTATGATTTAGATGTGACATTTTGTCATATTTGGCTATAATAGTCAGTTTTGACCTATATAGCTATTTTAGCCCAAATAAACATGCCAAACATACGGGTGATTGTTCAGTACTCCTAGAGTATGGACACGTAGTGTTCCATAAGATTTTTATTGGTGGAGAGACACAATGGCCCACGATTTATGTTGGAGATGGGGGACGACATGGGGCTAACTAATTGGTGATTGGTTTGGAGTATGGACACGTAGTGCTCCATAAGATTTTTATTGGTGGAGAGACACAAGGGCCCACGATTTATGTTGGAGATGGGGGGATGGCATGGGGCTAACTAATTGGTGATTGATTTGGAGTATGGACACGTGGTGCTCCGGGATTATTGAATAATTTCCCCAAACATAAACATATATCTTAAAAAAAGTCTCTCTCTCTCTCCAAAAAAATCTAATGATATAATATCAATTACACATTATAAAATTATATCATTTTATATTTAAACTTTGAATTAAAGCAGAGAAATCCATGACAAATGATCATATTTTTATTCAGATTTAGTTATTGAGACAATAGCCTTTTATATTTAGACTTTGAATTAAAGCTGTGAGATCCATGACAAATGATCATATTTTTATTCAGATCCAGTTATTGAGACAATTGAAAGAACATTTCCTTATTTTGGAATCCTTTATCCTTTCTTTGTTTTGAATCATTGGATTTAGACATAACTTGGGTAATTCTTAATCATTTCAAAAAAATCCATTAGTACTTGTATTTTATGTATGAGTTAGTGATAAATTAGACATGGTCATACAAATGCAGAAATCTTCCTCATGGTTGGACGGCACAATAATAAATTAATAAGGTAATCCTTGCATATTCATGCAAACTTGTTTGTATATTGTCAATATTATCACCCCTCTTTTGTCTCTATATATAGAGCTCTCAAACCATGCATTGTTTCACATCTCCACTTATCAGGCTCTCTTGCATTTCATAGCTCTCTCTTGTTGGGTTTGAAATTGAAATTCAAAGGCAATTTCAAGATGGAAACAAATGCTATCTTGTTAGGTTTGATAGTTCTCATCAGTAGTTCCTCTCTTGCCTTTTCCTTTGAGCCTAGTCCCTTGCAGGACTTCTGCATTGCAGACACTAACAACTCAGGTATATATATATTGCATGCATGTATAATAGTGATATCACGTATCAATATTATCAATTAATGAGAAATTTCACATTATAATAGTGAGAACAATGTGGTTGAATCAGTTGGAAACAAGAAATAAATATCCCATCCAACTTGATTTACAATTTTTAGTGATAGGTAATACAACTTAAAATGATATCATCATTGCACCTAATATTTATTGGGCGTGGAGGTTTTATACCATTAATCTCGGCTTGCATAGAGAGTTAAGAGTCGATATATAATTATTCAACTGTTCAAAATGAGCAATTTGATATAATATGCTTGTAGTTATGGCTCACACTTTCTTCGATAATTGAATAGTCAATTTAATGTGAAAAAAAGGTTTGAAAATGAGATATATGTGCAATTGATTGTTTCTTATTTGTTTTTGGTTCATCTTTTGCAGTTAGAGTGAACGGCATGGCATGCAAAGATCCCAAGCTAGCTCAAGCCTCTGATTTCTCATTTGGAGGCCTCAACATAGCAGGCAACACATCAAACCAAGTTGGCTCAAAGGTCACCCCAGTCTCTGTGGCCCAAATTCCAGGGCTCAACACCCTTGGTGTGTCCATGGTACGCATCGACTACGCACCATGGGGCATCAACCCTCCTCACACTCACCCACGTGCTACCGAAATCTTGACGGTTCTTGAAGGCACCCTCCACGTTGGCTTTGTCACATCCAACCCTGAAAACCGTCTCATCAGCAAAATCCTCTACGAGGGTGACGTGTTTGTGTTTCCAATCGGACTTATTCACTTTCAAAGGAATGTTGGGTATGGAAATGCTGTCGCCATTGCTGCATTGAGCAGCCAAAACCCCGGTGTCATCACCATTGCCAATGCTGTTTTCAAATCAAACCCTCGAATTTCTAGTGATGTTCTTGCCAAGGCATTCCAGATTGACAAGAGCATAGTTGATGCAATCCAGTCGCGCAACTAGATGCTGAAGCAAGGGTCGAGATGAGGACACAGAAATTTCATTATTAGATGTGCGATTTTTTCATATGTGACTAGAGTTATCCTTTGCATTCTTTGCGTTTGAGTCTGATTTACGGTCTTATTTGAATTTGTATTATCATTTATTTGCTGTTAAGTGTGCCCAATAAACTTATTATTAATACTTTGTTTTGAATTTTTTTCATAATTCATGTTCTTCTATTCCTTAATATACATATACTGTTTTTTGCAAACAAATATATGGAATTTTATAAGAAATTTCATTTTATAGGATGAAAAGCTAAAGCTGATATTTAATAACTTTCAATTTTAATAAAAAAGTCACTATAAGTTGTAATATTATTCTCTCTATTTTTTTATACATTTTTTTTTTGTTGTAAAAAGTCAAAAAATTACTAAATTAACATATTTCCAAATGAGGTTTTAGGAAAATGATATTAATTGGGAGAAGGTATTTAAAGTGCTCATTTGGCAATGATTTTTTTAGTTATTTTTTGATTTTTTTAGCTTGAGACTTTTTTAGCCTCCGTTTGGGAAGTGGGTTGACTTTTTGGCTTTTTAGCTTTTTTGGCTATTTTAGCCTGGGCTAAAAAGCTTGGTTTGGGAAGGGCTTTTTGGCTTTTTGGCTTTTTTGACTTTTTTTGTGAGAGAAGAATGTAATGATTATAGGTTGGATGTGATGTTTTGTTTGTTATGGCTAAAATAGCCTATTTTGTTTTTTGTGGCTAAAATAGCCAAAAAAGCCTGAAAAAGCCCTTGCCAAACATAGGCTAAGTTGTTTGGTATTCTTGTATAGCTTTTTTGACTTTTTAACTTTGGAATGACGCTTTTTTTTTTTTTGTCTTTTTGTGATTTTTGTTTTTTTGTAATTATTTGACTTTTTTTTTTTTTTGTCCTTTCTGTAATTTTTTAGCCTAACACAAAAATCAAACGACCTCTTTTGGCAGCTTATTCCAACCATCTAGAAATCATACACTCACTTATCTGTAACTTAAATGTGAGTTTTTTTTTTTTTTCATTTTTTAAAGAAAAATGCTTGGGGCCTCTAATTAGAGGTACCACTAGTGATGTGGTAGTGGGTCCCACCCACTGCCACATCAGTGCTATGTCTTTGTTTTTGTTTTTTTTGTCTTGGTTTTTTTTTTTTTTTTTTTTTTGCCTTTTCCACCTCATTAGAGGTGTGTTTAGAGCCTCTAAATTAGAGGTCTCTAGCATTGTTGTTTTTTAAATAATGATTCTGGAGCATATAATAATTTATCCTTTTATGAGAGTGTGGATATCATTTCACTTATTATTATTATTATTATTATTATGATGAAGAAAATTTAGGAACATGTTATATTGATCATGCAAATTCACTTTACTACCAATAAACAAGTTTTTTTTTAATTTTTTTTAATTTTTAAAATTGCTTTTTTATTTTCAAAAGTATTAAAAATAAAAATTGATATATAAAATTGGTTTGACAAACTTTTTTCAAAATCTGCTATAAAAAAGCACTTTCATGAAAAAAAAAATTTAATTATTTTCTGAAATCCCACAATATTTTTCATAAGTAAGTGAGAAGAATAATAAGAAAGTTATAAAAATTCAAGTTTAAAAAACAAAAAAAAACAAAAATACTAAAGAGAATCTTAGGCTCCGTTTGGTTACGATCTCAAATAATAGTTCCACCCATTGATTTGAGTATGTTGTTTGTTTTGAGCTTTCAAATCATAATTCTACACCTATTTTTCATAACTCAATTCAAAACAAAATCATTACTTTTCAAAACTCATAACCAAACACATAATTCAAAACATAATTCAAATCAATATTTTAATTTTTTTAATATTTTAAATATTTAAATATTTAAAAAATATTTTAATTTTGTTAAGATTTTAAATATTTTAATATTTAAATATGTTACGATTTTTTTAAATTTTTTGAATATTTTAATTTCAAAATATTACGATTTTAATTTTTTTAATTTTAAAATGTTTTATAAAAATAAATTCAAACTCTATTTTATAAAAATATTTTTAAATATTTTAATTTTTTTGTTATGTATTTGGTTACGATTTGAGTGTAAAGTTATGAAAGTAGTTTGGAGTTTCGAGTTATGTGTTTGGTTATGAGTTTTAAAAATAATTTATTAATTGAGTTTTGTTTTATGTGTTTGGTTACAATTTGAGTGTAGAATTATTTTTAAATTTAAAATATTAACATTTTAAATTATTTAAATTTTTACGATTTAAATTTTTTGAATGTTTATTTTAATTTTTTACTTATTAAATTTTTTAGATTATTTAAATTATTTAAATATTTATGATTTAAATTTTTTGAATATTGATTTTGAAAAAAATTTATTTCCTTTGTAGTATTTTCAATTAAAAAATTGATTAATGTTATTTTCTGTTAATAATAAATTTTTTATTTGAATTTTAAAAAGAGTTTGGTTATGGGTGTTGATCAGAATTTTCAATAGTATGAAAGTAGTGTGTTTTGTTTTGAGTTATAACAATTTGAATTAAGTTTTGAAAATTTTTTTCAAAACTCATAACCAAACAAATTTTCTTATTTCACACGTCAAATTAAACTTTCAAAACTCAATTTCACACTCAATTCAACACTCTATTCAAAAACCATAACCAAACAAATTTTCTACACTCAAATCATAATTCCACAACTCACAAACTCAAAATACAACTCATACTCTCAAATCATATTTACAAAACTCTACCAAACACAACATTAAGAACTGTCATAAAAAATATATAAAAATTATAAATAATTTATTTTTATTTATTTCACAAGTCCTAAAATAAAACTTCAAAGACAAAGATAGGAAAGTGCAAAGTGCGGCCCACTGAATCCCCAGAGCTTCCCTAATTTATACGCAGGTAGCTCTGTGTCCCTGGGGTTTATTTGTTTGTTCACTGGATTGTGTTCTGTTCAATGGAGAAATTGAGAAGACTGGTGAACCAAATAGCCTACACTCCAATCTCCGAAAGACACTCCAATCTCTCTCATCTCCAACTCTCTCTCATCCCTCTCCTCTCCTTCTCTTCCTTTCTCTACAAACTCGCTCTCTTCCTCCGCTACCGCCTCTACCACTTGGGTCTCCTCCGCCAACACCGGTAAAACCCACTTTCCCCTATCGCCTCTCTCTTCTTCTCCACTTATCTTTCCGAGAAAAGAAAAGAAAATAATTAAACCCATTTGGCTAATTCGAGATTTCGGAACCAAATCACCCGAAATATTCTTCTGTTTACTTTCTTTCCCTCGTTTTCTCGGCAACCAAACAGAAAGTTCAATTTAGACTTTGGTTTATGCTTCATTTTGTCATTGAAGGTTACAGGTGCCGGTGATTAGTGTTGGGAATTTGACTTGGGGAGGAAATGGGAAGACGCCGATGGTTGAGTTCATCGCTCGCTGGTTGGCTGATTCTAGAATTTCACCTCTCATTCTTACAAGAGTACTCATTTATTTCGTTTATCTATTTGTTTATTGTTTTATTGGGGTTTGGACATTTTGGTTTTGTTTGTTATTTCACTCTTTGATTATAGATTATGTTTTGTAGTTTTACCATTTTATCAATGCACTGATGAAACAAGTAGGGAATGGAGGATGAATCATGGTGTATTGTGATCTCAACAAACAGTTTCATCACGAAAACTAAGCCCAATTGAAATATGAAGTAGATGGGTGAACAAAATTCCTAGTCTATACATAGTAAGCTCAAGTTTGTTGAAGAAAGAAAGTGGCTACTTTCTTGAGAGATCATTAGCTTGATAGTGGAGTGGACATTTGAGGAATTTGCTTTACGTGGGTAATCATGTGTGACAATTCTTGTTTATGATGAGAGTTCTTCCAGTAAAGTTCCCACAAATTATTGATTCTGTGAAATTGGTGCCTTTGGTGAATGGGAAGTAACAATAAGTTATACAAAACTTAGTCTCTCATGGCTAAAAGCAATTTCATTGTCTTCTTATAAACCGTATCATTGGACTACCTACCAGGGGAAAAAAAAGCAGAGAGAGGGAGAAAATCCTTATGGTTAATGAGTTAGAGCTAATATTGGAACCCAGTATAATTTTCAATTAGGTAATTTTCTTGGTGTGGTAGTGAATTGATTCTTTTTTTCTGGCAGGGATATGCTGGCGGGGATGAAGCTAAAATGCTTCAGAGGCATCTTTTGGGCACATCTGCAAAGATTGGTGTGGGTGCAAATCGAGCTGCCACTGCTGCTTCATTTCTCAAAAGGTATGGTTATGCAGATCCTCATATTATTGGTTCATGCTTGAAGCGATGTGGTTCTGACCAGAAAGCAGGAAGTCTTTCAGAGTTGGACAAACTAGGGGCTGCAATTCTAGATGACGGAATGCAGGTAAACATTGTTTTTTCTTTTCGTTTCTTGTATGCCCAGTATTGTGATGCATGTTATGGTACATCCTAGAACAATTTCTATCACAAGCTTTCTCACCTTGCCTGTCATATCATGTGAATTATACTGATACTTTATGAATCATATATATATATATATATAAAACAGCATTTGAGCTTGTTTCGCGATCTGGAGATTGTAATGGTAAATGGGATGATTCCATGGGGAAACCAGAAGTTACTTCCACTTGGACCATTAAGAGAACCTTTGAATGCACTCTGCCGAGCAGATGTTGTTGTTGTTCATCATGCAGACTTGGTAAAATACACCTAACTTGTGTAGCACAATGCAATTCTTCCAGCATGTGGTTGAATATGGATTTCTTTCTTTTTCAATGTTTTGAGTGTATTTGTGAATGTGCACGTTGCATGTCAGTTAGATGAAGCAGGTTAAGTACAATAGACTGAAAAATATATTGTCTTGGATTCATGCAGGCATCAGACAAGAACCTACATGCCATCGAGTCTATGCTACGGAAACTTAAAGAGTCTCTTCCTATTTTCTTCTCCAGAATGGCTCCTTCATACTTTTTTAAAGCGGGAGACACTTCCTGTCAATTGCCTTTGGGGACTGTGTATAATATGGTTGTGCTATGTGTTTCTGCAATTGGTTTTGCAAATGCCTTTGTGCAGGGAATTGAAAAGGTATTTTTCTTTTCTGTTTCTATTTACTTTTTATTTATTTATTTATTTTATTTTATTACGTTTCTTGGAGATCTTTAGATGAATACATGTTCTTGTCCAAAAGAATATTTCATTGGAGGGTTGCAACAAGTCTTAATTTCTCCTCCTGTTGGTCACTTCCTTCACCTTATTTCTCGTGTTGTTCTATTTATATCTAATTTGTTGATGACTCATTGCAGATAGAACCATTGCATGCAGATCAATTAGACTTCAGTGACCACCATTTATTTCAAATTAAGGTATATTTGTTTTCTCACATGTCTTCACTTTTATGCTTGGACGCAACCACCCTATGTACAAGGACCAGAAACATCCACCTTACAAGTTACATTGTGTCATCATTTTGAACTATATTGATGTTTTTTTCTCAAGAATTTATTGCAGACTATTGTAAGAGCATGTATCAGAATTATTGCGTACAAGGATGACAGTAGCTTTTTAATTTTATTTCTTTCTTCTCCTTTTCCTTTTTATGTTCTTTGCTGGTTGAAGTGCAGATTTAATATGTCTGGTTCTGATTCTTTTTGTGGTTGTCAATAAATATTAGGATATGGAAACGATTAACGATAGACTTCAAAAACTTCAGGCAATGTTTGGTTCCAAGCCCATTGTTATTTTCACAGAAAAGGCGAGTAGAACTTGACTAAAGCTGCATGCATGCTTTATGCTCACTCAGAAACCCATATTGCTTTTGGTTCATCAAGTTTGGAACAAATCGTACAGCATTGTACCAAATGGAATTGGAAATTTGAATTGCCGTTTGGCACTCTTATTCTTTCTTCTGTTTTTGGTTAAAACTGTCTTTCAACCTTTATAATTAACAATACTGACCAGTTCATTTCATCATCTGTTATTGATTTTGTCTTACCAGGATTATGATCGTGAGCCAGAGATCCTCAAACATTTAGATCCTTTTGATGTGTTGGTACTCTGCTCTGAATTGCAAATTGTACCTAAAAAGGGACATACAGAAGATAGCTACAAGATTTTACTGAGACAGATTATGGAATCAAAATTAATAGGCATAAACAAGTGTTGATGTTTGATATTTCACAATGAGGGTACAATTGTCCCCAATATGCAGTGCTGAGAGTTGGGTGACCACTGATCAGAAATGAATGTCACGCACGAGTTTAAAATGGTTAAGAATCCAAAGATCTGTGCCAGAGATATGGAAGATGTGAAGCTCGAAACCATCATGAACACACTACTCTTACAGGTGCAAATAGGCCAGCAGATTGAACTAGTCAGGCCAAAATGTCGTGCATTATGTGAGCCGATGAGGACTTTACAGTGCAGACTTGGAGGGTTGCCTCATATATGTCCTTGGTAAGATCTCATTGCATATGTTGTGGGCTGTTGATGGTCAATTATGGCCACAGTAAAACAAAAAACAATTAAAAAAAAAAACCACTTATCTTGCAGCTTCCTGGAAATTGATTTGTTGTGTCTTTATCCCTGCATGTCTGCATATAAGATGAAATTATTGAAGAAGTTGCTGTGTTTGTTTGTGTATCCATGTGTATAAAAGGTCTTACATTGACTTAGACATTGGTTTTGCCGTAATTTTTTTCTTCTTTATATTAATTTTGAGTACATGCGGTTTGGGAGGATTAGACGAACAGTCTTATCCTGTGTGCGTGCAGAGGCAGTTTTACTTTGGTTGTCCTAACAAGGATTACAACGTTCATAAATGAAATCGAAAATTAGAAGATCTGATTACAAAACCCCCCTATAGATGACCGTGGTACTTTTAAAAAGCTTGGAAATGTAACAATTTTAGCAATTTGCAGGACTCTGCCTCGAAGGGTATTGTCATTAATGGATGCGTGGTGTCATCTAAAAAAACTATGTTGGTGTTTAGAAGAGTTTTGAAATTATGATTTGAGAATAGAGTTGTATTTTGAGTTTTTGAGTTTTGGAATTATGATTTGAGTGTAGAAAATTTGTTTGGTTAGGAGTTTTGAAAAAAGTTTAAAAAGAGTTTTAAATTGAATTTGGAATTTTTGATGTTACGTATGATATTTGATACAAAAATTTGTGACTTACAAGTAAACACACAACTAAAAATTCTATTCAAAATTCATAAAAAAAATTTAAAAATTTTGAATTTTTTATTTTTTTAAATATAAAAAATAACCGGTGCCAATTGTGAATAAATTAAAAAAATATTGTTTCAGTCAATCGGTCGGATGTTCAAGAGGGCGATCGATTAGTTTAAATTTTTTCGTCTTGGAAAGAAATGTGAAATTAATTTTTAAAAATTTTAAACAAACCAGACATTTAAAATAAGAGGTAAAAATATGTTTGGAGGAGTTAACTTTTGTGTTTTCCTTTTGTTTTTTTAATAATAAAAAAAATGATACAAGCATCACTGAAAAAATGGGTTTTGAAACACTTACACACGTACTACATTTCATGATGATTTGTGAAAATGTTTGTCTTATAATTTGTGAGAACATGTAAGATAGCTTCCAATAAACTAAAAAAAAAATGCTGTTGACTAAATTGTCCAATAGTTCATTCAAGCTGGAATATCCCAAACAGAAGAGTTGGAATATTCACTTGCATTTTTGGGGGTATCTATTTTCTATATCATCCCATGCAATGGTTTATTGAAGCAAGTTTCACAAAACACCTCAAGTTTGATATGTGGCCTATGTGTTTTCAAACAAGTGTGTAGAAAATTACAATCTCTTCAACACCATGAGTTTTACTTCTACGGATTTCAGTATGAGTGGCATGCAAGCTCTAAAAAAATGTTTAATAAATTATTAAAATTTATGATTTTTTTTTTCTTTTAAAATTTTTGATACAGTACCTATTTTGATGATATGATACCTAAACACAAGGGAAAAAACATAAGGTCCTGTATGGTTTCATTTTGGAATTATCATTGTGCCCTCACATTTCAACGCTCTGTTTGTTTTTAGTTTTCAAAATATGATTCCAAATCATATTTAAAACACACATTTGAAAACACGTTGGGTAATTAGAGAGTTTTTGAATTTTTGAATCTACCACACGTCCAGCTGGTTGACCGGAATTTTTTTATTTTTATTTTTTTTGCAATTGCCGCTTGTTATTTGAAAAAAAATGATATTTTTTATACATAGAAAAAAAAATTTAGACCAAAATGACAAATTATTTGGTCATTTATTTAAAATTAACAAAAAAATAAAAATAAAAATTAATTTGTCACAGTAATTTTTTAAAAATAAAAAACATTTTTAAACAAAACAATTAAAAAAAATTCCAATCAAAAGTAATTTTAAAACACTAGCTAAATATTTTTTTTAAACAAAAAATAATATATATTTTTTAATATTTTAAATAAAAAATATTTTTGTAATTTTTTGAATTTTTTTCAATAATTATTTTTTTGAATTAAATTTAAAAAAAAGTTTGGTTACGAGTTTTGAATAGAATTTGTAATAGAGTTTTGAATTGTATATTTGGTTACGAGTTTTATGTTTTTTAATAACCAAACAACTTTTCTTATTTTAAAACTCATTTCAAAAATTCAAAACTTAATTTAAAATCTAATTCAATTTTTTTTTCAAAACTCATAATAACCAAACAAATTTTCTTTTTTGAAATCATGATTCAACGACTCACAAATTCAAAATATAACTCTATTATTAAATCATGATTTTAAAATTAAACCAAACGCTACCTACAATAATTTTATGTTCCTCTTGCTATGTATTTTTATATATAAAAAAAGGATAATTATTTAAAATTTTCGTCCACTAAAAAAAATTTAATTTATTATTAAGGAAACACAAATTTGTCCAATTGCATAGCTTCGCGTGGAAGCATAACCAGATTAACGGAATAGGGTCCCGGTTCAATGAACCATGAACTCCGTCTTTTCTCATAAAACCGTTAGAAAAACTATCAGTTAATTTTGGAGGGTTATGTTATGTGACCTGTTCCACCTCAATAAAAATTTGGGAGATTTACCAATAAATCCTACTTGTTGATATTATAATCCAATTAGTCCCAAATTATACCCACAAAATCTGCAGACCCACGTGATCCCCAACAGAATTTGGAAACATAACAATAATGGGTAAAACTGTCCACACATTTACACCAAATATGGAAAATAGGATCAACAAGTAACAAACTTCCCCACTGATAGGACTTACCTGAACAAAAGAAAAAAGTTGGGACTAATTGGTTTAAGAGTTTGTCAAATAGAATTTATTGGTAAATTTTCCTAAAAAGTTATCATGTGTTTTTATGTTTTTTAATTATTTAATGTAAATTTGTAGGTTTTATGTCTTTTTATATTTTTAATTATTTAATGTAAATTTGTAGGTTTTACTCTTTCGTCAATTACGATACCCTATTGAAAAATCACGTGAAAATACTTGAAACTAATTAACAATTTCTCTAATTGTTAACTCTATTTATTTTTTTTTTTACAAGGGAGAGGAGAGAGAAAATTACATATCTTTAAGGGTTAATTTGAAAATTCGATTAAAAGTCAAATTTAAAATTTTAATCTATTTTAAATAAAATTATTTATCTAGTTTTTTTTATATATTTTTTAAAAAATAAAAAATAATTATAATAATTAATTTTTAATCACCTTTCAAAACAACCCGTCTGTCTTCGTTTTCTCCAAGAGAGAGGAGCGAGAAAGTTGCGTAAATCCAAGCTATTTGCAGGTGGGTTTCAATTTTTAAAATGGAATTTTATTTTCTACGTTTTTTTTAATTTATTTCTTGAAATTATAAATGTTTTATGTTTTTAAAAACACAAAGCACTGGTATGACTTTAAAAAAAAACAAAAATAAAAAGAGTCCAAACTACTCAGAAATAAATGACTAGTGGAACACAAATTGCTATAAAGACGAGCAAATCTTGAGTCTCAAGCCTTTGAGAATCTAATGGCGTTAATCTCCTCCTCTTCTTCTTCTTCTTCTTCTTCTGTAATTCGCTCCTCGATTGCTTCGAATTCAATCCCTTCACGCGAGCTCAAAGGTTCCTCTCTCTCTCTCTCTCTGTCGTTTGAATTGTTATTTGTGGTTTTGTATTTTGCGATTCCGTTTGGATTCTGAGAAAATGGTTGAATTAAAAGAGAGCAATGCTCTAGAAACAGTATTTTTAGCAAGAATTCCGGATGAATCCAGCTAATCTTTGAGTTTTTCGAAATCAAAAGACCAGGACATGTTAAAAAATTCAATTTTTTTGTGTGTGTATTTTGGTTTAATTTGGGGGAGTTTGATCTCTAATTCATTCTCTATGAACTTGATCAACAATTCAGCTTCATGGATCCAATCATTGCGGCCCTTGGATCGAGTTGGCTTTCAATCAACGACTATCGATGGTCACCGCCGGCAAAGAGGCTCAGTAAGACCGGTCAGTGCAGAAACGAAGAGAAGTGATTCAGCTATTCCATCCGCAGGAACCATGGATGCTGCTGGTACGCGTCTCATCGCGCTTAGGTTCTTTATTCTCTTACTTTTAGTTGGCAATTTGACCCTTTTTTATGGCAAATTTGTAGAAGTTGGAGATAAGACAGGACCAGAGGATTTTGAGAAACTGGCAAAAGAGTTGGAAAGTGCTTCCCCACTGGAAATTATGGACAAAGCCCTCGAGAAATTTGGGAATGACATTGCCATTGCTTTCAGGTATTTATAATCTTCTCCTGTTTCAGTTGATTTGTTCTAGTCATCAAACTTTAGTCATTATATTTACTACTCAATACTATGATTGGTTGAATTAAGGAAAAGGGTTACAATATCTGTTTAGCAACTTCTCAAACACATCAACTTTTTTAGATTTTGAAAACACTAAAAAGGAAAAAAAAAAAACTAAAAACTAAAAAAGCCAATCCTAACAACCTAGCCACATTAGTCATGTTTGATATTGAGTTGTGGTTCATCAAAAGATTTCCGTGTGTAAGTAGGAGTTTCTTGTTTAACCCCTTTTATTTAGGTACTAATAATAATAATAATAATTTGCATTATGTAATGCTTTTCCCTCCTCAAACCCCTCAGTGACAGGAGCCTCGTGCACTGGAGTACACTTTTTTTCCTATTTAGTCCTTTATATCCCGTTTATCTGTGCTGTTCATCTGGTGTCAAAAAAGCATCCTGGATGCTTGAGGAATGGTTGTAGTTAACATTTGTGCTATGTCTCCCATAGATTTGTGTAGCCTTCAATTTTGATATTGTGTATTGGTTTTCATTTGCAATTCAGTAAAAGATCTTTTACCTTGATCTCATCAACACCTCTTCACATACAATTCAATGATCCGCCACTGAAGTCCTAGTTATCAACTTAGATTCTTTTCATTACGTTACATGATTCCAATCCTGGTCAAATCCCATATTTGGACTTCCCAAGCAAAAGAGCACCATAATGATTTTTTCTTGGCCTTTATGAGTGTGATGTGCACCGTGAATGCTCACTGAGATGGCCTGCAGTTATTAGTGTCCCTCAACTGATTAGTAACAAAATGTTTTGTTGGTGCACTTGATAAGACTTGCAATAGTATTTTAGTCATCAAGAATGAAGAACCATATTGAAATTTCTGTTGGTATTGATTTGTGCAGTGGAGCTGAGGATGTGGCCTTGATTGAGTATGCACGACTAACTGGTCGGCCATTTAGGGTGTTCAGCCTGGATACGGGGAGATTAAATCCAGAGACATACCAGTTCTTTGATATTGTTGAGAAGCATTATGGCATTCACATCGAATACATGTTCCCCAATGCTGTTGAGGTTCAAGCACTTGTAAGGGGCAAAGGGCTTTTCTCATTCTATGATGACGGTCACCAAGAGTGCTGCAGAGTTAGGAAGGTCAGGCCTTTAAGGAGGGAACTTAAGGAACTTAGAGCCTGGATCACTGGGCAAAGAAAAGATCAGTCTCCGGGCACAAGAACAGATGTCCCTGTTGTCCAGGTGGATCCTGCCTTTGAAGGAAAGGATGGTGGAATTGGCAGCTTGGTGAAGTGGAATCCCGTGGCCAATGTTGAAGGCCTACACATTTGGAACTTCCTACGAGCCATGAATGTACCGGTCAATACCTTGCATTCACGAGGATACATCTCGATTGGATGTGAGCCTTGCACGAGGCCAGTCCTGCCAGGGCAGCATGAAAGGGAAGGAAGGTGGTGGTGGGAAGATGCTAAGGCCAAGGAATGTGGCCTTCACAAAGGAAACATCAAACAAGAAGAGTTGTCCCAAGTTAATGGGAACGGAAATGGTGCTATGCAAACGAATGGAACCGCAACTGTCTCTGACATCTTTAACAGTCAGAATTTGATTGGCTTGAGTAGAACTGGGATCGAAAACTTGGCTAGACTGAACCGTCGAAGTGAACCTTGGCTTGTTGTGCTTTATGCACCTTGGTGCAACTTTTGCCAGGTAAAAATTAATCAAGAGTAAAGAATTATATTACTTTGATGCTATAATTGACACTTAGATATGGGTGTGAGATATGCTGCTAATACTTCCGATCAGACACTTTCATATTTAACAGTCTTTATACATATCTTTCGTTGCAAAAGTGCTATAAAATGAGAAAAAAAGCCTCTGACACTCTTATGTTACGTAAAACCTCATTTTATCACACAAAATACATTAAAAAAAATATTTAAAAAAAAAAACTATTTTTTTTTTCAATTCCGCTTATGCATGAATTAGAGTTTTGATGGTCCACTCTCTAAATACGCACTTGTGCCCAACACCTATACCCGAGTCCATGTAAGATAGTTTTGATGCAAATAATTATGATTACTTTGTAGTTTTTTCTAACCGACCTTGTGTTTCATAGGCAATGGAAGAATCATACTTGGTGTTGGCAGAAAAGCTGGTGGATATTGGAGTGAAGGTGGGGAAGTTTAGGGCTGATGGCGATCAGAAGGCATTTGCAGAGAAAGAACTACAGTTGGGAAGTTTCCCCACAATACTTTTCTTCCCTAAACACACTTCCAGGCCTATCAAGTACCCCTCGGAGAAGAGAGACGTTGACTCATTCATGGCTTTTGTGAATGCTTTGCAATGATAAGACATCAGCACGGTTGGTTTGGGGTGTAAATAGTACACTTATTTATTTTTTTGAGCCACATCACTTCTCTACTTTTCTGCACATTTTTTCGTAAAAAATCAAAAATTATACTTAGGCCTCGTTTGGGAACAGGCTAATTTAGTAACTTTTTGACTATTTGGCTAAAATATGAGCTAAAAACAACTCTTATGTGTGGGATGACTTTTTGACTTTTTACGAAAAGATGTGCAAAAAGTAGAGAGAAAATAAAATCTTTGACTTTTTAGTATGGGTTGTTGGCTTTTTGGCTAATTTAGTAATTTTTTGACTAAAAGGGAGGGTTCCCAAATGAGGCCTTATTTAGATTATCCCAAACAATCTTAAATCGCTAGGAATTATCAAAATTATACCGGAGCCTGCTGGGTTGGTGCTTCTAAGGGCTCCTCAAAATTGCAGGACTTTCATACATGTTTCTAGTTTGCACAGTTTGTTTTTATTTTACTTTTATTATTATTATTATTATTTTATTTATTTATTTATTTTTTAGGGCTGGAAATAGTGTTAGAAATCGGTCATCTCCTTCTTCTCTTATTGTCATCCACGTAATAGTAAAATTTCTCATGATAATTCTAAATTTTCATTTGTGGGAAAGGTTGTGAAATCTTAACATTAGTTTTGTACCGTTGTGGTACTTGGAATTTTTTTTTATTTTATTTTTAGATGGGGGTTACTTGAAGTTAGTTCACGAGAATTGTGCAAAGAACTCGGTTGACAATCAACTAGGGGAAACAAAATTGTGGAATGAAAGTGATCCCATGTCTCATTTTGTTTGTTCACACAGAACGTTTGAGAGTTTCATTCATTGCTTTCACTTGCCCTTAAAACTCCATTTGTTTCTGGAGAAAACATCCTTTATGTTTTCTACTAAAAATGTTTTTTGTGAAATTTGTTTTTCTATAGTTGATTGTGATCTTGAAACTACTGTGTTATTGATTGTAGTAGTAGTAGTGGTGGTAGTAGTGGTGCTGTTAGTGTGGTAGTGATGGCAGTGGTGGTAAAAATATTTTCCACCATCAGTTTGTTTTGAACAAGGGAAAATATTTTCCTCCGAAATAGTTTTTTTTTAAATTTTATGTTGATTTTATTTTTGGGAATGAGCCCTTATACTACTTGTTTATATTTCATTTTGTGAGTCTCAGTCTGAATTTATAATAATAATTTGAAGTGATTATTTCATAAATTTTGTGTTAGAAACCACTTATGTAAAATATCAAATGATATTATGAAAGATCCATGCACCTTGTTTTAGTACCGCATGATCCAATAATTTGGGCCTTGTAGTGTGAAGAGCCCTTGTCCATCTAACAGGCCAGGTGATCTGGCCCATGGTCAACCTCATGTGCCCATTGGGATCACTAGCCGGTAGGCACTACGGCATTGATAATGAACTACTGACAGCGACCCAAAACAATTTCTTAATTTTTTAAATTTTATTCTTTTGGAAAATTTATTAAAACATTATTTTTCAAGTGTTTGTATCTCAATTAATCCATTAGATATTTTTATATTCTAATAAGTTTTATTATTCGAACATTTGATCTATCAAATCATAATTTTTATATTTACGATATTTTATGGACATTTCTACCCTTATAAATATTTTTTGAACAGTTATCAATTTGGAAAATGTGAACATTCACATTAACAATATGAATATTTATATTGACATGTTAACATTTACATTGACGGTGTGAATATTCACATCACAGAACATTCACACTATAAATGTGAATATTATTAGGGGTATTTTGGTAACTATATCATCCGTAGGATTTATTCGAATCTAAGAAAATAATGTAGACTAAATGAAACATAAGTAGATGAAAAGAGATAATGAAAAAGTGCCCCTATTATTTTAGGGTAAATATTTTATATTTTAAATATTTATTTGTTGAATTTGCACTATATTTTATGCATTTATATGTTGTATTTTTTTAATATTAACAAATTTAAAAAAATTATTTTTATTTTAAATATTTTTTATTTTTTAAGTTAAATATTTTATTTTATTTTATAAATATATTTTTAAATATTTAAATTTTTTTGTTATGTTTTGGTTATGATTTGAGTGTAAAGTTTTGAAAGTAGTATGAAATTTCGAGTTATGTGTTTGGTTATGAGTTTGAAAAGAAAGTTGTGTTTTGAGTTTAAAATATTAAAATTAAAAATTAAAATATATACAAAATAAAATAAAATGTTTAAAATAAAAAAATTAAAATATTTAAATAAGCTTTATATATTTAAAATAAATAAATAAAATTTTCTTAATTTTTTTTTAATATTTTAAAAAAATAAATCCAAAAATTTCAAAATACAACTCAAAATTCAAAAATTCAAAACTCAAAATACAATTCAAAACTTTTTTTAAAACTCAAAACTCTTTCTAAAATTCAAAATTCAAAAACCCTTTTCAAAACTCATGACCTAACAAATTTTTTATTTTCAAAACTCAACTCACAATTCTACCCTCAAATCACAATTCCAAAAAGAGAATTATAATTTTAAAATTAAACCAAACACAACCTTAAAGTTTGGCAGTGTAATTTTAAATTTTGTCAAAGTCCAGGTAAATACTGATCAACTCGAAGTAAATTCGAATAGGGTTTAAATAGGAGTTCTCACAACTCGAGCAATTTGAATTTTATTATTAATTTATATAAATTAGATGTAATAAATGAAATATTATAAATTACGAATTATTTTCTCACCGCTTGAATTAAATCGTATATTCAAAGGTAATTTTGTACAGCTTGATTCACATAAACCAAATTAATTTTCTTTTTACATTTTGTGTTTATATTTTTTGAGATATTTTTCATTTTTTTCTTTCCAAAAAGTATTTTATATTAGCTTAGATCGATCAAAAATCATATTTTATATATATATATATATAAAATATATTTGAATTTCGACATCTCAAGTTTAGCCTGAGGGTTAGTTTGAGGTGTCCTAAAAAAGTGCACTTTTTGTCTTTTTACGAAAAGATGTGCAGAAAAGTAGAGAGGTGATGTAATGGAAAAAAGATAAAAAGATAAAAAGATGGATTATATAGTCTATACCAAACAACCCCTGAATTTTGATTTAAACTCGTACTCAGGGTAGCGGTTGGACTCGAACTCTAATTTAATCAAACTGTTGCAATTTAATTTGAAAACAATCCCTCAATCCGATTGAATTGATCAAGCAACTAACCGCCTTATAACTTAAACTTGTGGGATTTGGATATTAAACCAAAAAAAAAATTGTTCACACATATATGCAAACGTGTGATGGGGTTCCTCACAAGGTTTTGGATTTGCAACAGTTGGGTCTATATTATGTATAAATTGACAAAAGATTGGAACCAATGCTAGTCAACCCGTTCAAATTGTTTAATTTCTATACAATTATTTAAACAATTTGATTATGTGTATAAAAAAAAAATTCACAAAATAAAACACAAACACAATACAAAATATTTACATCTATTACATATAAAATATTTATATTTATAATTACAAATATCTTACCGCATATCTATATGTAGATATTTTTTGTGAACATAGATTTTTTTCCTTATCTAAAAGATGGGCATATATACACATTAATAACGACAGCCCCAAAGGATGGAGACCGAACAGCGACCAAAGAAAGCGGTCATTAATTTGACCCAAAGCGAGGCCGTTTCACAACCCATCTCATGGTTTGCGTAGATGAATTTGGAGCTACACACATGACAGTTTGTGGTGCAACCTACTAGCTATGATTGGATGGCCCATATAGGATGAACACAAGTCTGGTTTGGGGTGGGTATGTAAAAATCTACTTATGTCCCCTGTCATATCCGGCAGGACAAATCCGAAGGGATGGAAGTCGGTAGAAGCCGGATTAATTTTATAAGTTAAAAAATAAAAATATTAATAAAAATTATAAATAATATAATATATTACGAATAATAATTTATACTTAATAAGAATTATATTACATAAGATAAAAAATAAATGCGTAAAAATTAATATTAAGTATAATATTTTAGTGTTTTAATTTTATTATAATGAAAAATAAATATAATTGGGTCGGGATTCGGGTGGAATGGGGCGGGAGAAGCAAAACCCGTTCCCGCCCCACTTATTAATTGGGACAGGGAAAATTTGTGCTAGACAGGATAGGAGATGCGAGTGCAGAGCGAGATAGTTGAAAATAATCATCCTTAGCCCTCACAGATTCATTTGGGGTTGTTTGGCAAGTATTGGTAAGTATTTTAGTTAAAAAATTACTAAAAATAAAAGAAGTAAAAAAAAAAATTAATCCATACACAAAAAAAGTAAAAAATTTCCTCTCATTCACTTTACGAAGTCAACAATTCGTTTTCATTCACTTTATTTTGTGTATGTTTTTTCATAAAAAAACATTCTTGATTTTTTCATATCATATTTTAGTTAAAAAAATCATTTTTCAAATGGAACAGTGGTTTTATAACCACACCTTAAGCTATGATGAGGGGAAAGTTAGGGATTTGAGCTAATGAAGCAGTGACCCTTTTAATTATAATATAATTTTACTAACAAAAATTAATATCCTACAATCTAGGCAAAAAATAAAAGTAAAATATAAAAAAATAATAATAATAATAAATATTAAATATATTGGTAATATTACGTGTAAACATTATTATTTAATGAGAAATTTTATATGGAGAGTATATAGTGAGAGATAAAGATTATTCGGTCTTATTTGTAATATTTTATTGTTGAATATAATCACAACTTAGTGTAATTAGTTAACTATATTATATTTAGCCATATTAAAGGGTTAATTTTTGAACGTGCACGTCAAAGACTGACTTTAGTCTTTGCAAGTAATTTAGAAGAAATTGGTTGCACTTTCTTAAGTATTTCATTATGAGGTTACAACTTTTTATTGCTAGATTAGATTTATGCTCTTTGGAGGTTCAACTCCTTTTTTCTTTGTCAATTGGATTAAAGGTTAGGCTTTTTTTTTTTGTTTTTTTGACTATTTTGAGTCACATTAATTCTCTATTTATTTATTTTTTTGTACATTTT